AAAAAATAATCGATTAATGTTTTTCTGACGATTAATTGCACACGATACGATTATGCCCAACCCTACTTGAGGATAACGACTTGAGACTTGACTCAGACTTGAGAATAAAGACTTGAGACTTGACTGACTCGAGGATTAATACTTGAGACTTGACTGACTTGAGGATAAAGACTTGAGACTTATTTGAGACTTGTGAAACAATGACTTGGTCCCACCTGTGTTTCATATTAGATCCTTATTTAAGACGTTCTGCTTCTGTGTTGCTACTCYGGCTCTAACAAGGATTGTTTGTAAAATAAATAGTCTTTTTTTACTTTTTAACATTTTTACTTGCTTTATTTGAAAATAAATAAAATCTAGACTTTACTTTGTAGAGTTAAGAAACACCTGATAAAACTTGGGTTTCCAGCAGTCATCGAGTCTGAACTTTTCTGTTGCAGTCAAACCATTAACAAATGTCTACAAAAACAAGAAGAGTTTGGGTTCTGGTAGGTCAGGATTCAAACTACAGACTCAGAGGAGGCATTTGTTGGATCATCAGGTGGACTTCATTTCTCACTCACTGGCTCTGCGTTTTACTTTTTGTTAAATAAATAATGAAATGGTGTATAAAAAAAGGAGCATCTGTTGTTAATCTCAGGCTTTATTTGCCTAATTTTAGGATCTAGTGAGGACCAGATGATCTTTTTATTATGCACTTATATGGAACACTTTAAGGAACAAGACATACTTACTTTTTTTATCATGACCAAATTTAGCTTCACACTGAATGTAAAAAAAACTACAACAATGCAAACTTGCTTCATGTTGTGAATGTAGTGACAAAAAGGTGCTAATGCATCCATTTATGTTGTGTAACATATTCCTGTCGGACATTATGGGTCCTGCAGATGAGATCCTCCTGCAGGATGCAGATGAGGCTGCTGGTTCCATGACAGTGACTGCATGAGCACAGCATCCAGTCGTCTCACCACAGGCCTGTTTTATAGTGTTTATAATGATGCGCATGAGTGTTGTTCATTAGCAGGCCGTGGAGTCGGAGGAGGAGAAGAATGTCAGATGGAAGTTAAATAATAAAGATGGTGGAAACTCGCAGCTGCAGCATCAACACAGCGATTAACCCAGTTTCACCTGATTTCTTTCAACTAAAGCTTAAGTGTTGCAAAGCCTCAAAGCATCACCTTTCATCCTCCTCCAGCAGATGTTTGGTTGCCAGCCTTTATCATAAAATACATCCCATTTATAATTTAAAAATAAAACTATTTAAAAAATAACTTAAAACTGAGCCTACATTTGCAGCAGTTTTCTGCCCTACAGTAACAGTCATTTTCACGCTGACTACACAACCTAAAGGTGTTTCTTCCAAACTCACACTTGGCTCTGCCTGCTTCTTCAGCTCGTTAGGATGAACAAATTTAACCGATGCAGATACTTTCTGCAGATCTGGCCGATGATTTGGTGCCACCTAGTGAGCTCCATCTGCTACTGCAGCAGCTCTGACAGTTTTTAATGGAGCTACACTGAAAACCGTTTAAATTCCAGCTCACTGCAGCATCAGAAACAAGGTAAATATGAAGAAAATAATTATTTTTAAAAGAAAGAAGTGTGAGCAAAGCTCAACTTCCCATCAGCTGAATTTKTGTCTTTGCTCTTATGGCAGGTCTCCCAGAAAACCCTTCTTATTCATCAACGACAACTGATTCATATTAAGGCTCTGGCTTTTCTCCATTGGCTTTATTTGTTTTAGGGTATATTTTTTTAATTTTTTTAGAGCCACGATTCGATTCAAAATCAATTTTTCATTCAAAACTGGTAATGTGAATACATTTGTTGTGTTCCCAAAGTACTTCATGTTCATTTTGTCTCCATTCCTCCATTTTTGTAGTTTCCTTCTTGTTTTGGTGCTTTCTATGCATGTTTTCCAGAACTTTCTGTGTGGTGATGGAGGCTGACAGCCACTGGATTTGCTTTATTTTTTTAAATCAAATTTTGGACATTTTAAATCGATTCTGAATTGTTTTAAATTTAGAATCACAATTTTGATGTTAATTGATGTTTTTAGTGCCATATTGCTTTTAAAGTTCTTCAAAGTCTGGTACCTCTCATACCTGTGATCTCTTTAACATCCACACTGCAGTCAGAG